ATTTGTCAGATCTTTGTGGGACACCCTGTATATTTTAAAAGTATAAAAAGTAAAGTTTATTTTATTATATATATTTTTAATTTATTTAATCTTYGATTATTATTTATGAATACTTTTGTGTTTTCTGAGTTAATACCTACCTATTTATTAGTTAGGTATTTATTATAATTCAAAAACATACAATTTCACTATYATTTTGTATTTTTTATACAGACATAAAAATAATGAAAATACCTACGATTTAGTCGCTTGTAGCCTATGGGTACAAAATATGTGAGTTCGACACGAAAACAGCAATATTATTTTAGTTCGTCGGTAAAGTTGATTATAGTGGTTATGTTATTCACATATCCATATATGATATATATTATGAAAATGAATGTTTATCTCTGGTGTGTGTGTGCTAAGGGATTTAAAGCTACTATTTTAATAATAATATATTATTAATAATTACTATTGAGTTGTGTCATTTTTAATGGGCAACGAAGTGCACGAGATCAGTTAGTATCTATATATTTGAATCTCAAAAAATATGAAATTAAAGGTTTTTTGAAAAATCATTATTGATCTTTGTATTTTTGAAAGCAGAAAATCTTCAGTATCGACTTTTTGATAAAATAAAAATTGTATCCAYTGGAGATTACAACAAAAATCAGTTTTACCTCAGTGAAAAAAGTTTGTCCTGCTACTAATTACTTAAAAAAAAATTTAAATACTTTAAAATTAAGTACTGATGCCGCGTGGCTTTGCCGAAAATACGTCCACACACACGCGGCATAGGCGAGCGGTACAAGCCGCGCGGCTTTCCTTTGATGTAGAGCGCCTACTAGGCCGCGGCCGATCGGAAATTATGCCGCACGGCATACGCGACCGTGTCGCGCGGCAAAAGCTGCTCCGTCTGGACGCGCCTTAAGGTTTGGAAATATTTCATAAAAACCCATAATATCCCAGATGAAGCACTGAAATGTAAAATATGTTAGCATTCTTAAGGCGCGTCCAGACGGAGTTGCTTTTGACGCGCGGCTTGGCCGCTCGGCCTCCGTCGGCCCTGTGCCGCGCGGCTTGGCCGCTCGGCCTCCGTCGGCCCTGTGCCGCGCGGCAAATACCCGTCCACACGGTGCGGAATTTATTTCCCGATTATCTTCCAGTAGACAATAATTTGTATACTTAAAAATAAGTACTGATACCGCGCGGCTTTGCCGAAAATACGTCCACACACACGCGGCATAGGCGAGAGGCACAAGCCGCGCGGCTTTCCTTTGATGTAGACCRCCTACTAGGCCGATCGGAAATTATGCCGCGTGGAAATACAGAATTAAATTAATTTGATATTTTACATAAAGTTGTGGCTATAGTGACTAATGGAGGGAGAAATATAAATGCTGCTGTTAGGCTTATGAACATACAACATACTCCCTGTACATCACATAAATTAAATTTAGTTGTGAGAAATGCTTTAAGTTTAACAGATGATGGTTTAAATGTAGATGAAAATATTGAACATAATGATGATGACAGTTCTGATAGTCGACTAAAAGAAATTTTGAAAAAGTGTTGTAATATAGTTGGATTTTTTAAACGCAGCGAAGTAGGTAATAGAAAACTAGTTGAAAAACAACAACAAATAGGTCTACAAAATATTTTGAAACTCAAACAAGATGTATGTACGAGGTTGAGGTGGAACAGTGCACTAGTAATGATGGAAAGGTTATTACAATTAAAAGAACCTATTACAATTGTAATAATAACATTTAAAAAAGTATCACCAAATCTATCATCTGATGAATGGGATGTAGTGGAGGATTGCATTCCATTGCTAAAACCATTTCACAGCATTACTATGGAACTGTCAGCTGAAGAATATCCTACGATTTCCAAAGTTATACCACTTATAAGAGGTAATATTTCTAACGAATAAAATATTTTTGTAAATTTTTTATTGAAGTACATTTATTTTATAGGATTACAGATTGCATTAACTAATAAAGCTCCCTCAATAAAAAAATATTAGATCACGTTTTCAAGGAATAGAAAAACAATCATTGGTTCGCGATACTCTAAAGCAAGTATCGAGTATCTGGTATCGCGATACTCTAAAGCCAAGTATCTAGTGTCTTGTATCGCGATAATCCAAAGCAAAGTATCTTGTATCTAGTATCTTGATACTGCTTTTTGTGTATCTTGCCCAATCCTGCTTATAAGTCGATTGATAAAGTAATATCTGAACCAGGAGATCTTTCTCAGACACTGGAAAATGGACCATAGCAACCTAAATTGGTATGTTTCCCCAAAACAAAGTATGGTAATCAGATGAGACATTTCTTTCTATATTTGTATAAAATATATAACTGGATTGAGTATAGTATCATCAACGACTCTATTTTCTGTTTTCCGTGTCGATTTGTTTTTAAAGAATAATAGAGAAAAATCTATTTTTGTGAATGAAGGTTACAATAACTGGAAAAATGCATTGGGTAGTGATAGTGGGTTAAAAAACACCATATGAGTAATGATAATAAAACTCCCCATGCAATGTGGACATCTTATTTAGATATGAATAACGCAGGTAATGTTTCTGTGGCCTCTCTAATAAATGATGGACATCTGAAGCTAGTAAAAGAAATCCGTTACTTCAGTAAGTCAATAGGAAGGGTTTTGTTGTATACAGCAGTACAAGGCATAACTCAAAGAGCTATTCTATGAAGGAGAAAACAGCCTCAACTGTGGAAATTTTGTAGAACTTTTAAACCTCATGTAAAATTTTAATGATGAATTTAAATCAAAAAGAAGATCATTACCAAATAATACCAAGTACACCAGTCCACAGATTCAAAATGAAATGTTAATTTTTAATCATATGATCCAAGCGATAATAAGTGATGAGCTACAAAAGTCTCAATACTTCTCCATTATAGTAGATGAAAAAAAAGACATCAGTAAAATAGAGCAGATATCAGTAGTTATAAGATACTTTTTGAATGGTGTAATTTATGAGCGTTTTATGGGCTACCGAGCAGCTGAGTCATTATGTGCTAAATCTCTTCACGTATATATTAAAGAAATTATTGCCAATGGTGATATTGATGTTATGAAATGTGTTTCACAAACTTATGATGGGGCCAGTGTGATGAGTGAACGGTTGAATGGGGTTCAAGCATTGTTTCGTGAAGAAGTACCTCAAGCCATTTATGTGCACTGTTATAACCATAGACTTAATCTCATTATATCCGATGTTTATAAAAATGTTACAAATGTAAAAATTGGTATAGTGGAGAATGTATACATATTTGTATCCGGTTCTTCTGTACAATATGCAAAATTTGTAAAAATTCAAAAAGATATGAAATACAAATCTATTATTGAGCTAAAAATAGTATGCTTTACACGATGGACGGCACAGGTTAGGTTTAACCTAACCTATTGTTATTTTGGCTGTTACGAGAATGTTATTTGATGATTCCAATTGGCATCATTGGTTCTATACGAGTATATATTTTATTGTGCAAATATTACTTTCATTTTTTTCAGTACATTACTATGGCTCTAAATGATGCTGAAATAGAAAACTTCCTTAGAGGAGATATGTCTGATATAGAAGATCTTAATGATGATGAAGATGATCTCAATGAAGAACAAATTATTACTCAACATATTGTTGAAATTACAGAGTTTATAGATTTGAATAATGCTGAAATGGACAATTTGGTAAATAAATTGTAATTTTTATTATGTTTAATGAATCTATAATATCTTTTAAACTTAAGGAAAGAGGACAATGCCTCTTAGATGGTGAAATATCTTTAACACAAGATTTATTAAACCAAAGTGACAATACTGAAGAAGCAAATGTTGAAAAAGAAAATGAACAGTTACCAGCTAATTGGGTTACAGGTTCTTGGGAAAACCAAAGATACTCATTTAATTCTATGATGTCTGCTCCCCCTGTATAACCACATACTCCATTGGAATATTTTAAACAATTTTTCGACTCAAATATTGTAGAAAATATTGTTTATCAAACTAATTTATATTCTGTACAAAAAAATGGCAGTAGTATCAATACAAATTCAAATGAAATGGAACAGTTTTTTGGTATGCATATGTGTATGTCTGTCATTAAAATGCCTGCTTACAGAATGTATTGGGCACAGTATACAAAATATTCTATGATTAGTGACACAATGTCACGTAATCGATTCACTGCTTTACGTACACATGTACATTTTAATGACAACACTAATTGTTTTCCATCTACTGATATTAGACATGACAAACTTTTTGAAATTCGGCCATTTATTGATGCTATACAACATAATTTTAAATTAATAGAACCTGAAGAACATTTGGCAATAGATGAAATTATTATACCTTTTAAAGGTAGAAGTTCTATGAAGCAATATAACAAGTCAAAACCGCATAAATGGGGCATCAAAATGTTTGCTTTTGCTTCAAAATCAGGTATAGTACATGATTTTGAAATTTATGTTGGAAAAGGGACAGTGAAGTCAAATACTAATCTTGGGCTGAGTGGAAATATTGTGATTCGTTTATCTGAAATAATACCTAAGAACAAGAACTTCAAGCTGAGTTTTGACAATTGGTTTACTTCATACAATTTGATAGTAAGTTTAAAAAATCATGGGATTTTAGCTGTTGGAACTGTTAGATCAAACAGGTTATCAGGGTGTCAGTTTGAAAATGATAAAAATCTCAAAAAGTCAGGAAGAGGATCTTATGATACAAAAATCGATACCACAAATGCAATTGTTGCATGTAAATGGTTTGACAATAAAACTGTGCATTTAGTTTCAAACTACATTGGCCCAGCACCTCTTGATCAGGTTCAACGTTGGTCAATGGCAGATAAGTTAAGAATACCAATTGAAAGACCAGCTATAGTCAAAGAGTACAACTCTTTTATGGGTGCTATTGATTTGCATGATATGCTGGTTGAGATTTATCGAACAAATATTAAATGTAAGAGGTATTACATTAGAATTATTTTTCATATTATAGATATGTGTATAGTGAACAGCTGGCTTATGTATAAACGTCATTGCAAACAGTTGAATATAATAAAGCATGACTCTTTACTAATATTCAAGATGAATATTGCATTAGGTCTGCTGAAGGCTGGAAAAGACAAAATAAACACAAGAAAATCTCCTTTGACACCACCGAGTAAGAACAAATATAAGAGATCAAATGCACCAGTTCCAGATGTGAGATTTGATGGTTATCAACATTCAACATTGGCCTGAACTATCTGAAGACAAAAAAATATGTAAATTTTGTGTTCAACCATACTCTAGAACAAAATGTTCAAAATGCAATGTGGCTTTATGCTTTAATTCTAGTCGGAACTGTTTCAAAAGTTACCATGAGAAATAAGTTTCTATTACTATTGATTGATATTGTTATTTTTATTATTATTTATGTACAACAAGTTACTATTAATTGATATTGTTATTTMTATTACTATTTATGTAAAACAAGTTACTATTAATTGATATTGTTATTTTTATTATTATACATGTATAACAAGTTACTACCTATTGATTCTTATTGTTATTTTTATTATTATACATGTACAACAAATTTATGTTTTTATTATATTAATATTATGTTTTAAATATTTTAATGTGATGAATTGTTGAAATGTGATGTTTTAATATTTTATAAGAAATAAAGTTATTTTTTGAAAAGTATAAAATGAGTACCCCTATGTTCCCAATGATGCCACATGGCATCAGGTCTGGAAAACTTAGAGCTTTTCATGAAAAAAAAAAAAATTTTATCTTATTTGAGCTCTATATTGTAATATTAGAAAAAAAACCATACAATTTTAAGTATTTCTAGTAGTGGGCCTGAAAGGGTTAAAAAAAGTACTGAGTCCTCTTCTGGTTTTATTAAACAATTTACTTAATGAAAGAAGTGATAGAGCAGCTGAGTCAAAATAAGGATTACTTAATTTGAAAGATTTCAACTTCATCTTTAATTTAGTTAATTATCAATCACTATTCCAGTATCCAGTGCAGCATGTGAAAGGACTTTTTCTTAAGCAATTAAAAGCCTTCGTGCTCCTCCCATTGAATTCTCATGAAAAACTACGTCAAATAGCTTAAAACTTGTAACGTCAAACCCAAACTCGTATAGAACGGTAATCATTTACCTCAAAGAAAAAATGTAAACTTTTATACATATCAAATTCATGAGGACAAACCTTACCGTGTAGTTGTAAGAAATCTTCATCCCTCAACTTCAATCGAATATATCAAAGAAGAATTAGGCAACTGTGGTTTCTCAGCTCGGAACATAACTAATGTTCTTCATTATCAATCAAAAAACTCCTTACCTCTATTCTTTGTAGACCTCGAACCAGCTATCAACAACAAAAACATCTTTGAACTAAAATTCCTCTGTTACACCAATATCAAAGTAGAAGCTCCTAAAATAAAAAAACAAATTCCTCAATGTATGAACTGCCAAGACTACAGACATATGCGCCACTACTGCAATAACATACCCAGTTGCGTTCGTTGTGGCGATCAACAATCCTCAGTCAGCTGCACAAAAAGCAAGGATCTTCCAGCGAAATGTGTGCTTTGTTTTGGCGACCACCCAGTGAACTATAGAGGTTGCCCATCACTCAAGATCATTCAAAATCACCGAAACCGTCACTCTTCTCAAGCAAATAAAAATCTTCTCAACAGAAACATCAGATACCAAGTTTTAAGAACCACTGAATACTGTTTGTAACATTATTCTATATATGTTTTAGTATTAATGTATTTAGCTGTAAAATAATTAAATATATTGTAAACTGATACGTGTGTGATAACAGGCAAGTAAGACTCCCTTTCCATACGACTGGTCTAAGGAATTTGCTGAATATACCCTTTTGAACGGACGACCATGCGGAGACTCGCACACGTAGCAGTCAGTCTTTGAGTAACGCATTGCCATTACAGACCATTTTCAGAGTATTCATTTTAAAACATTATAACAAATAAATAAAGAATATAATTTTGAGCCAAAGTAATTTCGTCTCGTTATTTTTTATTTATTACGGAGTCGCTAAGTGCACATTCATAACACAAGAAAATAATAATATTGTACAATCTCACCCAAATCATAACATTACCTCAGAAAATCAGAAAACACCCTCTCCTAACCTATCTTACGTTCAAGCAACTAAAAAAAAAACACAAATACACCAAAAAACAAACCCCATTTAGATACTGCAACCCAACTAACTGATCACAATTACTCCTATTGTTTCACTTCTTACAAAAGTAATTGACTAAGTCCTAGATAAAAAATGACTTCAGACTCAACCAATCGTTCCTCCTTWTCAATATTCCTTTGGAATGCCAATGGATTAAAACGGCATAGTAACGAACTATTCTACCTTAYCTACAATAAAAATATTGATATAGCCTTCATTACTGAGATGCATCTATCAAAATCTGAAATAAAATTTCAATGGCTATACAACTATTAGAGTGGACCATCCCAACGGCACATTCCACGGGGGTTCTGCAATAATAATAAAATCCTCACTTTTTATAATCAAATGCAAAATATCAATAAATCATACCTACAAGCAACGAATATCAAAATAAAAATAAATCATTTAAACGTTACAATCTCATCAGCTTATTTTCCTCCAGGCCAAAAAATCTCAGAACACAAATTGCAATCATTTTTCTAAAGCTTTGGTAGCTCCTTTATAATAGGAGGTGATTTCAATGCAAAACATACCCAATAGGGTAGTAGATACACTAACACAAGACGTAGATTATTTTACTCTTCAATACAAAAAAATAAACTGTCCTTTATTCCCCCGGACGAACCGACTTATTGGCCTACTGATGAAAACAGATCACCCGATATCCTCGATTTTTTCATAACACAAATTCCAACTGGTTTAAAATACCATTTAAAAAACCTAAATGACCTATAAAGTTACCACTCTCCCTTATAGTTAATCTTATTTGGCCATCTCGTCTCCTCTGATAGACAGTCCCTTTCATAAGGACTCCTAAATTGGAAACTATTTCAACAACAATCACACGAGTCACTGTCTCTCAATTTCCACTAATATATACAATTCAGTTTTTTATTCTTCCTTCTGGACTTCTTATTTTAATATAAACGTCGATTTGAATATTTTTTAAAACATCTATAAATTGAAATATATTTGGGTGAGCCGAATAAAATATAGAATTGAAGGGTGAATGGAAAGATTCACATGCGTTTGTAGTTCTTATTGTACTAGACTTAAATTCAGACCATAATCTTGGAGGGAACATTGCGTCAGGGCGAATATATTTTTTAATAAATATTCTGTGAATTTGTGTACAATAGTAGTGAACTATAGTTCATCATCTGCTGAATACTTATTGTAAAACAATTTGCTACTTCGTTCGATGGTAAGAACGGAAGTCCGAAAAAAATCATAGTATAAGTACTATACGGTTTTAGAAAAACATAAACCTARGAGTTTAAAAGAAAATTTTTAAAAAAGTTAATATTTTTCGAGATAATTAGTGTACCCAAATGGATCACCATCATGTATACCTCTAACTTGAAAAAAAAATTCGATTTGTTCCAATATAATCCTGCCGAGAAATTCAGTGTTCCATAAACTGGGCGAACACACATGGTAAATTAGCCAAGCTAAGTCTAGCTTAAAAAAAAATAGATTTTTTTAGTGCAATTCAAAATAGCAGTATATTTTAGATATCTACATGACACATTCACAGAAAGTTTCTCGTATATTGGCAGTTTATAAACACTATACAATTTCCAAAATATTTTGACTAATTTTAAGTTATTTGTATAAAGGCGTAAGAACATTTCAATTTTCATTAATTTTTTTTTWAAATTATTGTCGATAAAAAACTTTTTGGTTTGTAAATGTTGAAAATGTTGTAAAACGGTTTTC